TTTTATTAACAGAACTGGAATACAACTCCTAACCCAACTGTCCCATGTTGGGATTTGAACACATCACAAAATTTAAACCAAAGTTACAATATCAGGGACAAATTCAAGGTGAAAATTTGGATTATTTAATAATTTATAGGTCCAAAAGTTAGCAACAAAGGAAAAAATTATGGAAAAACCCCTCGCCCCTAAATCATGTAAGAAAAAAAGAAGAAAAAAAAAGGGCTACAGAAGAATATTTCAGAGGCAGATACATTAGTGGCTTGTAGACATGATTTCAACATCTTAAGAACCCAAGGACTACCTCGCCAGAAGAAGCCATGAATGTCATCAAACAAGCAATCGATCCTTTATGGCCTCCAGTGTACCTTCGTACAAGCTGCAAAGAACCAAGCAATGTCACCTTGTGAAAGTAATGTCAATAACATTAATGGTGAAGTTGATACACCAAAAACATAATAAACTAGCAAACCTTCCATGCTATCATTGAAAGAACTCTAATCACACCGTCTGATCCCCCAAAAGCCACAAGAGGACCATCACCAGCAAATGATCTTGAGAGGAATTCCATACTGCAAGAACAAATGGTTGATGTAATCAAGGCAGTTGGTCCTCCATATATATTTATATTTTTCTTTATTAGTAGGTGATAAAAATAGTATGTTTTTAGAAAAATAAAACAAAAGAAACAGTAATTAGGTGCTATTCATCCACCAAAAATTGGGAAGATTTAACAATATGAACAGGCTCAGTCAATGGATGTGTTGTACATTCTGAGGTTTCATGATGTCAACTATAAAGGACAATTTTATCCTCCAGGCATGATTTTGTACCAAAATTGAAAGAAACAATAGCAAATGAAACAGATAGAAGTTTGATCACTTTATCCCAGAGCACAATTTTGGAGTCATAACAAGGGGAAGGGGTTCGATGCAACAGCTGTCTATAACATAATGACCAAAAGAATGAAGTATATCATGGATTAAAAAGGCAGCCCAGTGCATGAGACTCCCGCTGTGGGGTCTAGTGAAGGTCATATATGCGCAAGCGCAACCCTACCTCCAAATGCCAAGAGGCTATTTCCTTTACTTTAACCCATGATGCAGCTCCCAGTGGAGCAACTTACCATTGTGCAAAGGCCAGAAATAACATAATTCTGTTACCTGAAACTCATTTTGCCTATATTTCTGGCAAATAAAATTTAAAAACCTAGTGAAGAAGAGCAAGCTTTCTTTTGCCAGTAAACTATGTAACAAAGGACTTGCCAGAGAAGAGACTTATTGTCAAGGTCCTGCTTTGGTACATCACGGCCACGCATTGTCACCAAATCTAAAAAAATGGCCTTGTTCTCGCAACAGATGACAAGAAAATGCCTTCCTTTTGTAGATGGAGCTGGAGAACCAAATGCGGACATGCTGTTATTAACTGCTGATGAAGCCTCAGCTGCAGCAGAACGGTTACGCCAAAGTTGCCAAAAACGCACATCATCATCATAAAAGTTGACCTGCTTAACACTTGAACCATGTGCCACAATGAAAGGTTCAGGTTCAAAAAGAATAAGCAACAGAAGCCGAAAATTATGAAAATGAGAGCATCACTCAATTACCTCCCTCCCCGTATGGCTTCTGTAGGTTTCCCTTTTGGCTCTGGCAGAGAAACAAAACACATACAAAGATATTGATACTTCCCCAATATGAAAACACCAAATATAAAGTAGATGACCAAATGCAGAATAAAAGACAAGGCCAGATTGACTAAGGTATCCCAAATAAATGTGAAGGAGAACTGAAACATGCATTTGTCTGCCCCCAGAGAGGGTCTTTGTCAAAAGTTGAATTTTGAAAACATGCCTAAAATTTGCTAGTAAGATGCCATGAACAACAATAACTTAGGAAACAAATTGTCCAAGAAAAACCTATAGAAGATTTTAACCATGGCAGGCAGGATTCATCATTTGAAATATGAATTTTACAGTTCATAAGTACTTTATATTTTCCTGAACTGCATGATACCACCTATTACTTGAAGAGAAATGAGCAAACCCAACATTAAGTAGTCTTCCAACAGAATTTTGAGGCAATATAAGATCCATATAACTATCATAATAACCCATCTACCAAAGCTGAAACATTATTTATTAGAGAAAATATGAAAGCATTTACGTGGATAAAAGTGTGTGCATGTATTATTCCTAATAAATTCTCAAGAATACAAAACCTCAAATTGATAACTGTCTTTATGCAATGTGACTACATTAGGTCAAACATTTTGTCTACAATGTTCTCATCAAAGTCTATTTACTTTCTTTATATCTTTCTGCTACCAGGGTATCTCTAATGAAAGAATAATGTCCTCCCCTCCTTTGTTTGAAGAACAAGAATGCAAGAGGTATGGCTTGATTATACCATTACACTCCTACCTGGCCTTTTTTCCTTGGGCAAATTATAGATCACCTCTCTGTGGTTTGACCCCATAACACTCCACCACCCTATTTTAAAAAACTTAACTCCCTGTGGTTTAGGGCTAAAGTGCAACAGCTGCCCTCCATATTTTGTTAACTTTTTACAGTTTTCCTTCCAGGAAATTTTATAAACAATTAAAAAAACTACTTAATGCATGAAAATCCAAGAGAGAGAAAGAGATTGGCTTATTTTGGATAGGGAAAAAAATGTGACATGTATAAAGTATAAAAGTCATTTGAGATAAGTTTTCTAATTAAAAATAGTAAATTGGGACATTTGACTATTAATTTTAATCGAATTCCTAACGAATTTTGGTGTGCTTCAAAAACAGAGGGGGTTATGTGTAAATTTTTAAAGTAAAGGCAGGTAATATTTTAATGTATCACACCACAAGAAGGTAATCTATAATTTTTCTTTTTCCTCTTTTGGGTATTGTGGGTGCCAATGCGAGGAGAGTGGTTGGACGCAGGGGTTTCCTCTCCTCCTTTCTGCCCATTTGCAGGTGATAAAAATTTACCAACCCCCACCCCCCTCTTTCCTACCAGCTACCGGGATTCAAGCCAGCCATCCCCTTTTTTCCTCCCACTCTTTCATCCTACCAAATGGATTACCTATGTTGTATTTTGACAGCTGCCAAGGTGGCAGCTGGCCCACACCACCAATGGTTGTCCCAGGTTAGTTCTCCCTCTCTCTCTGTGAGGAGTCTGAACAGACCCCATGTCCCTCTTCTTGTTTGCTTTGGTAATTGATGTTCACATAAAATGATTTCCAAAGCTGAGAATGTGGCTTCGATTGAAGGTATCAGGGTAGATCATCATAGGATTAAGGTCTGTTATCGTCAATTTGCTAATGAGACAATTTTCCCATCCTATTAGAAATGAGATGTCCTTTTTTAGGTCATTTAAGTTTTGTCTCTAGACAAGGGATCCATTATCACTCTTCTAGTTAACTTCGGTCATTAATGTTCTTAATGGAGAGGGATCAATTGGAAGCATTCGTCTCATCCTCAGGGCGTGGAATTAGCCAGTGGCTTAAAATTGTTGAGGCATTCATTTAGGAGGAAATCCATGGTCTATTAGCAGTTGAAAAAGGTTTCAGAGCATTTTGATTATGGAAAGAAAGTTTATTTTTCCTTGGAAGCAAGATTACTTTGAATGGGTCATGCTTAGCCCCCATCATTCCACTTTACTTCCTCTCTTTAGTTGAAATTCATATTGATAATGCGACCAAGCTCAAGAAAATACAAAAATTTTTAAGGTCTAAGGGATTATTTTGGCAATAATTAGATTAGATTGGAACTAGCATGTCATCCCAAGTCGAAAGGTGGTTTATGACTAGGTAATGTGGTCTTTCAACCACTAGTTCAACCTAACTTTGACCTATCCTAACTTCGTACTTGGATGTCGCACTCACACAAGTAAAGTCTTACTACGAAAATGGTTGTGCAGATTCCAAAAAAAAAAAGAAAACATTTTTTGGCATTTGATAATCAAAAGTGAAATATGGTATTGAGGAGATGGTTGGGATGCCAATGCTGTTGTGAGGACAACTCTTCGGTGTCCTTTGAAGGTCATTACTAAAGAATACCACCATTTCTCCCCTCATACTTAATACATCGTCATTAAGGGGTCCTGGATCCATTTCTAGGAGGATTGGTGATGGGGAGACGACTCCTTCAAAACCATTCCACGTCATTATTGTGTCTCTCATACTCATGGGCTTCTATTGGTGCTTTTATGGATCCTTCCATTCTTTAATTTCTTGAAATTTCAGAAATTGATCACAAAATTGATGGGCTCGCTTCTCTTCTTCTTCTCGAGTATGTCTAAATATGTATATCTAGTCGATTAAAGTAGTTGGAAGCTGAAAGATTTTTCTTTTTCCACAAAATCATACTCCCTCCATGCCGTAAAGAGTGTCCCCATTTCCCTGTTTTGATATCCTAAAATTTGTGTATCAGTTGACAAGTCCAACTTATGTTTCATAATGTGAGTTTAGGGTTCCAAAATTAATAGAACTAATATTGGGCATCCTTGGAATTCAGTCCTCCTTATACAAATTAAAATGCTTTAGATGCTACTTCCTTGATAAGATGCATTGCCAAAAAAGGTCCCTAAATAGAGGACAAAGGAAAATTTGATTACTGTCTAGACTTGAAAGTATCCTTCCAGAAAGGTATTTGGATTCTATAGCTAGAGATTTTGGCCCCTTTTTAACCAGTGTTTTCACATAAGTCCTAAGGTAATATAAGTCTAGAGGTCTATCATTTAACCAAGAATATGGCCTTGAATACAAATTAGAGGGCAAAAGAGGATTCAAGCTGCCAAACCAAGTTATTGGGTTCAAAGCACTTCCTATTTCTTAAAACTTATCATATGACAATTACAAGGATTGAAATTTCATTTTGTTCGAGATGAAATGATGGAAATGTTTAGATATTGGCCAGTGATTGAAAATCAAACATCCATTTTTTGAAATGCTTTGGGATAATTCAAGATATTTAGGAATTGAAATCTCACTATAACCGATTACCATAAATTGGATCGGATTTTGCAATTTTTTCTTCTACAGTACCTCAACATGAGATTAGCGTGAATGGGATTCAAGAATCAATTTTCTTTTTATAAAGGCTAAAACTAAAATCATTTATTTTGACTTTTTTAACTCATTGTAGGGTGGATCTCAAAAGATATGAAAGATCTCCCTTCATGTTTTGGAATCAAAATTTTAATTTTTTTCTCTTCTTCAACAAATATCCGTTTCCGAGCAAACGGAAACTATGTACTAAAAAGAAATTTTAATCCCAGATAATTTAAGAGCTTCCAAACCAATAGGTACTTTTTCTGAAGGAGTTTCACGCGACCATAATAGCATTTAGTCATATCCAAGTACATACATTGCATTATGAGTTTAGGACATCATTATCATAAATAACTTAATATACTAGAAACAAAATGGACTTTGAAACTCTCAAAATATATACCAATTGTTCGATATCATTTTCATGTTAATATTAAAGGACAAGAAACTTCCAACATGGAATTCTTTTAATTGATTTCATTAACTTGAGTATATTCAGCCCATTTGCTCAATCATACATGCAGTCGCAGAGCCACCTCATGACTATGGGGCCATGACCCCCCCCCCCCCACCCTTCACCCTTAAGTTTTATAAAATTATTATTTAATCTTGAAGTTTTTGTGTTGTTTATTGAGCATTACTGGGATGACCAAACTTTGGCGTCAGATTATGTTCAAACCCATGATCTGATTCCACAAATCCTTGGCCTTCCTGAAGTAAATCCCTATGTGTGTAGGTGAGTTGAAAGAAAAAACAAAGTGTCATGTCAAAAGGCAATCGTACCTGATTCACCCTCGGCGAGTTTCTCCAACTTTGCACCCACCAAACGCCTCTCATCCACACCACCAGCTTTCAATTCATAAATAACCTGAGATACAATCACCAAAATCCTAACACCGCCTAAAATAATCAACTAAATCAAGTAAAGAAGAGAAAATTTGAAGAATCAAAACGAAAACCTGGCGGTGTTCCCAATTCCAAACCGAAACGTGATCGGACGCATCGGCCGTGACAAGCCACGGATGTGTAGGGTGCAATTGAATCTTCACAATCTTGTCATTCGTCGGACGAAATGCTTTCAAACGCAACATTATTATATCCTCTTCTTTTCACAGATTACAAAATTAGCTACGGATCTGAACAAACTCAACCAATGCTCTGTTAGCAAATCTGAATAACAATCAGATTAGGCCTCCGTTTTGATTCCTCACAATCTGAGTACATTTCTCTTGATCTGGACGAATTTCAGTGACTCGGCAAATTTTTGGCCGGTGAGATTTCTCGATCGATGTCAACAAGTTGATACAGCGAAGAGGTAGGTCGAGCTGAAAGCAAAATGTCTGCTTCGTGAGAGGGAAAGAGATCGAAAGTGTTTAAATAAATCTTCTTGTAATTTAATTTGAGTGAAATGACGAACCATGAGACGATGAACACACTGTTTGTTGTGTGTAAGCTGTAGAAAGGAGAGCGAGGGAGAGAGAGAGAGCGAGAGAGAATTTTCAACGGAACTTCTCTCTATTTACCATATTGACCCCTTCACGGCCCAACAAAAAGAGAGAACAAGCGGAAAAATAAGGTTAGAAATACTATTGTTGATTAGATCCGATTAACCTTTAAATAGGGTGTTCATAGATCGGTTATTCACGGTTCGATTATTTAATTTAAAAAAATAAAAAATTTGGAGGTCGGTCTCTCTAGATAGATTTATTTGAATTTAAATCCATCAAGAAAACTTATTTGTTATGAAATCTATTTTTTATCAATTTTACCAGATTATTTTTTTTCTTTAAAAGTGAAGTAAAACTAAAAATTAAAAAACTCTAAAATTTTAAGAGTTTGATTGACATTAAAAAATTTTCTCTCGTATATATATATATATATATATATATATATATATATATATATATATATATATATATATATATATATAGTAACATTAAAATAAAAAATAGTAACATTCAAAAAAAAAATATCATTTAAACACAAAAATTAATATCATTTTAAACACAAAAAAGTAACATTTAAACATAAACAAATAGTAACATGTTCAACAAAAATAGTAATATGTTTAACAAAAACAATAACATGTTTTACAATAATTATCTATCTCAAATTCAAACACAAAAATAGTATCACTCAAACACAAAAATAGTAATATTTAAAAAAAATAGTAACATTAAATATTAATATTTAGGTCAATAATAGTAGTAACATATTCAACAAAAACAGTAACATGCTCAAAATAATAGTAATATAAACAGTAACATACTCAACAAAAATAGTAACATGAATAGTAACATAGAAGAAGAATTAGTAACATAAAACATTTAATTTAAAAAATCAATACTAATTCCAATAAAACACGAACAGTAACATGAAAATACAATTAGAACCTAATTTCAAAAACAAAATTAAAAAAAAACTCCGGCAAAGAACGTCGCGATATGAATACCGGTAAGTAACATTGAATTTGAGTAAAAACAAAGGAAAAAAAAATCAATTCTACCGAGATTTAAGCAAAAAAATACAAAGGAAAAAAATACCGGTAAGTAACATTGAATCGCTATTGGTTTGAAAATTCTACCGAGATTTAAGTCATACACTTGAATATGAAAAACTCTTCGCATCTCTCAAAGTTCATCGGTCAAAAAAATCTTACTGTTCTTCCTTGTTTGTGAGCTAAAACGAGAGAGAGTCTGTGTTTGTGTGTGTGTGTGTGTTTCTTCACTTTTGAGTGCGAGAGGATGGGAATGGACAAAAGACAGAAGATAATGTTTGAATTTGAATTTGAATTGTTAATGAAATCTTTTGATTTGAAATTGAATTAATAGACCAATAATTTTGTTGTAATTCAAGCATTAGATTATGATATATTCGATTTCCATAAAAAACTGAATAATCTGTTACCATATATATCTTAAACATCTAACATATGACTTTCTATAATTGACCAAATTTAACACTATTATGAGTATTTTTGAGATTAAAAAAAAAAGTGGACTTAAGTCATTATACATAATTTTAAACATGGACTTAGTCCCTTATAAGTTTTCTTACCGGACATATCTCTAAATAAGTACATCTAGGGGGACGCACTTCCAATTTTCACTAAAAAAATAAATTCAAAATTCACTAGACTCGATAGTTTGCCCGCTTGAACCCGAGTTCAACATCCTTAAAAAGAGAGCTTATGTTTGCCCTCAAGTCCATTATTTGGCCCGAAATCCGACCCAATTGTCCGTCCAAAAAATTCATTAATACTCGGCCCAAAAACTGTCTGCCCACACTTCCTTTGAAAAGAAGTTATATTTTTAGATCATTAAATTTAAAACTTTGAAATAATTCTTTCAATATCAAAATTTAAAGTTTTAAAAATTTAGATATTACAAATAATGTATTAATTTCTTTTTCATGTATTAAACATACAAATTTTAAATGATCGAATAGTGCAAATGATAGATAAATGAGTAGGTGTCAACCTAGTTCAAATGTATTCATATTAGCTATAGTTCATCCCTTAATTAAAAATAAAATTATTAATTATTTTATTTTTATGCATTTTGACTTTACTTTTGATTCAAAAATATAATTTATACAAATATTAAATTATAAAAATATTCAATATTTTTCAATGAAGTTGTATATTAAAAAACCCGCGAGCAGGATTGCCCAATAAGCTTGCGAGTTGAACTACGGGTAGCCTATCCCTACCTGAAGCCCGACTTGGCTCATGGACACTCTTACCTTTAAAATAAAATTAAAAAAAAAATTTGAAGTTCTGTCCCTGTAACGCCCCAAAAACCCCCTTGGGTGACATTACATTCTAAAAACCATTCACCCCATGAGAGTATTACGTAAATTCATCACGACGAAAGTTCATTCATCAACCATTCATATTTTAACAAAATTTGGGCAAAGTCTCATTTGTACGGGGAGCTTTACCCAAAACACAACCTGTACAATTATATTACAATTGACCACACAGGGTCCACATATGCATAACTATTGACCACACCGGGTCTATTTATCCATCATAAAATAAACTTTCATTCATCATATGTCATATCCACAATGTCATCCCAAAACAATAGGCCAAGTATGACAAATATATTCCCAAAAGAATTAAATTACACTTGCAGTGAAATAACAAATTACTAGACTTTACATGATTTCAAAATAAACTCTCTAGTCTAGTACAAAAGAAATATAACTTTAGGCATCCAGTTTAGGATCCCCGTTCCCCTCTAGGGGAGCTTCCCCATGCACTGGTTCATCTACTTGTAACTCCTCCTCATAGACGAAATCTGAAAAGATATTATTTGTAGGGGATGAGCACTAAGCTCTGTAGCAACATTCCTTCCATACTCATACAAGGTTTAGAAAACAAGTAAAACAGTTCGGTCTTATTTTCCAAAATATCATATAACATTTGAAGTAAAACCGTGACATTTGAAACAGATCTCAAGTTTAAACATTCGCAATAATTTAAATGAACAGTAAACCCAAGTCATAATGAGCAACCATAACCATTTCCAACAAGTTCTTGTAGAGTCTCATACCTCCACAAGCTCTTGTGGGAAATGCAATAGTAACACCATACTACAAAAAGGAACGCTTATTCCACCCTCGATTATTATATTTCATTTGGCAGGTGGCATACTTAAAAGTAAACTACACCCCCTTCAAGTCTTTGTTTCCCATAACCGCATACTTACAAGTAACCACGGTCGTTAGATGTCCTTTTAGGTAGGTAGCATACTTACAAGTAACCTCCACCCCCCTCAAGTATCCAACACATAGCCGCATACTTAGAAGTAACCTTGGTCCATAAATATCCTCTTTTGGTAGGTAGCATACTTACAAGTAACCTCTACCCCCCTTGAAGTCTCTCACACATAACCGCATACTTACAAGTAACCTCGGTTCATAAATATCCTCTTTTGGTAGGTAGCATACTTACAAGTAACCTCTACCCTCTTCAAGTATTCTACACTTAACCGCATACTTACGAGTAACCTCGGTTCATAATTATCCTCTTTTCATACCAACAATCACATACAAGATAAAATCCACAAATTGCCCTCAACAAGCAACCATTATCAAAATCCCCAAATTTTATCATGCGACAATCCAAATAACCAATTAAGAAAAATACAAGAGATCACCACCACATCATTTTCATTACTCACACAAAGCACTAAAGTTCTCAAAACCAAGCTTGAGCAAATGTAGAAAGAGAATTTCATATTTCTCCAAAAACTAGGGTTTTAAAGCTATAAAAGAAGTTTCATGGGTAATCAATCCTAACTTTGTTTAAGACATGCCATAATTGCAACAAAACCAAGAAACAAGGAATTCCTAGCAAATACATACAAGTATGAGTCAAAACATATAGATATTTTAGCCTTAGCCTCAATGGACAAGCATGGAAGAAAAACCCCTACCTTGAATCAAAGTTTCAAACCAAAAACTCAAGCTCTAATGACCTCCTTTCTCCCTTTCCTCCTTTCCTCTATCTTCCCCAAGGGTGCTAAGGGGTTTGGGGGTGAGAGATGTGAGAAAAAATGGAAGGAAATGGGCTGGATTCTGTGTTTTAAACACAGCAGTCAGCGCAATTCACTGTTCATGGCTAAATTTTGAGTTTTTTTTTCCAAAATTACAGTTTTGCCACTAGAAATCTCCAATTTGATCCATACGACTACCCTAAGGTTTTTCGACGTTCCGGATTCATTTTTAATATTATTTTAACCTAAAAATATTGCTTTTTATGATTTATTTCAAAACTAAAATAAATTCACACTTGGAACATTAAAATTTTTATTTTATTCCTTCGAACTACTATAGGTGATATCCTTACGATTTTAATATATATATATGGTTTATTCTTAAGTCATTACATATAGAAGAATCACTAAACAAATACATTAATATATTAATGTAAACATATGGGATTTTACACCTTCAAGGTCTAATAAGAAAGCACAACCCTTTACTATCCAAGGAGCACTATTGTGCAGATTTTTGGTCAACTTCATAGAATAAACTGATTTGACTCAGGTATTTCTAGGAGATGTAACCTATATGGTTGGAA